AGTTGTATGCGTCCCTATGGGTTCCATATCGAACAGGACACGGCGCGACTATCATCTCCCTTTGTCAATTTGCTTCATTGTATATGCCAATATTGCCATACAGGTCAGTTTATTTGTATTATTGTGCCCAATCATCCTTAAAGTTATGAAATATAAAAACAGTATATCAGACGAAAAAAATACTAGTTCTCTCTGTCACAGTTTGAATGTCACATAAAAAGAACAGAATAAGCGCTCGCGGCAGTTCGTACCGTACTTGCCAAATTACGCATCTAATCATTACGCTAAAAGAAAGAAGCCTGGGGAACAAGTCGAGTCCGAATAATACACCTCGGTGGAACTTTAAAAATCGCGCCACGAGCGTCCCGCTTTTATTAACGCGCCCTCTGAGCAGGCCGGATTCCATTCCACGCGACACCCACGTAATCGTTGCATAGTAACCATTGAGTGAGAACGTCAATCATTGGCAGGCGTGCAGCAATCAGTGCGTTTGAAAGTGGTGTTCGTTTCATTCTGAGCTCATTGGCTGGTGCGTGAACTGGACTATCATGTGTCACGTAGGAAAAAACTATGGATGCTGCCAGAAACAAGAACGCTCTTGAACTGCTCGGTTCGTCATTGTGCAAATTTAACTGCCAACGTTCATAGGATACACACAATGACAACTATTACAAACTCGAATGGGGACTGCCTGGTCCAGCTCGGCGATTCTGTGACGGAATTGGAGTTGCCGTCACATCGGAAACGGGCCTGGCACAAGAGCCATCCATTTCTCTCCCCGCATACCGTTGCAATGAGAATATGGGAATGTGTTGTGCTCATCACCGTCATTATAACGTTTGGTTTGGAAATATTCCTTGCGGCTTTCAACTCACAAATTGTATTACTTTGGGTGTTCGCGTATGTTTTTGATTTTATCTACATTGTGGAAATTACTCTAAACTTTTTTCGAGGATATATGGAGAACGGCATCCTCATCACAGACCGACGGAAGATACGGAAACATTATTTGCAGACAACTTTTTTGCTAGATCTTTTTACTGTTCTACCTTTGGATTTACTTGTGTTCATATCACCCGGAATTGTTGCGGGACACATGAAAAGACTAGCCCAATATCGCTGTATTAATAGGTTATTTCGATCACATAGAATCCTAAGCTTCTTTGGTGAGTACTGTCCAACTTCCTAGTATTTACATTTGTTTTACGGTGTCGTCATTGCCATGACAACATGGTCGCATATTTTATACAAAACTCGTACTGTATTTTTATACCACATACGAGTAACTTATATATGTATATATTACTTTATTTATGCTAAGACACCGCCATATTGATGTATAATTATAAGCCACTATTTAATTAACTTAAGTTAAGATTATTACATATGTAATACACTGCAGTATAACTGTGATGCCCCTTTTACAGGGCCCCACACATGATCACAAGAAAAGGTCCAGACCAAAGGCAGTTGTATCGCTGTGTTTATTTTTATAAAACCCATGTCAGTCATCAAACGTCTGGTGTTAGAATATGGGCTATCTTTGTCATGCAGACAGAAGATTATCGTTGGTCTGTGTTTTGTTGTGCGAATGTTGATGGAAAGTTATTCCTGTAGTTTTTCTAACACCCCTTATGTGTTTTTGGATATTTCCAAACAACGACAGATCATCCTCTTTCTTGACAATAGCTATTGTCTTGGATTTCTCGCAGTCACACAATGACCCACGTAATATCAGTTCATTACACAACAGTGCGAGAGCTGAGTCTTTGACGTTTAACAAATACGAGGTCATCGTTTTGTTTCATATTTATAAGGATGTCGGCGTGGCCTTGAAATGTTTCCAACCTCTGGTGCGGCCAATTTAGCGACATTCCCCAAACCAGCACAGAACAACTACTATCAAATTGCCTGTATTATTATTATCCTGCGTATTAAACCTGGTAAAATATAACTTTTTCTTCCTTCATGGTTGAACCAGATGAGCTGCAAAGACGTCTGCTAAAACACTACCCTGTTTAAGTTTAGAAAAATACAAAACAAAAAACAAACGACAATGTATATTGTTCCGCACTGAGAATAAAAATCACTTTCCATTTCACATCCTAATTACATCCATTGAAATCTGTTGTAAAATGCGTTGTGAGTTTTATAAGTGAAAAAGTATAATGCCTGTATTTACGATCATCTAGTTTGAGGTTTCCGATCTGTTGTGGTCTGTACGAATGACTGCACTCGGCCATACCACAACTCAGTGCACAACCTGCTGATATGCATTGAACTGGGATCCCCCTTCTATTCCCTCGCTATAATTTCGCTACAAGTTCTTACGTTGTGCCACTGAACAGTGTTCATTTCATGTGAAATGTACAGCATTACTCCAGATTACTCTGTCGATTATAACGCGCCAAACTGACAATCCTCACATCCTATCCCCTGCCCAAGTGAAAACGTAACATAGTATATTTGCCATTGATGATGGTTCCAACGTCATCATTCCTTTCACTTGTATGGTATAATCACAATCTGATTGGTATAATCACTGCAATGTAGGCTACGTTCATTGTGTTCGTTATTAGAGGGGTCTCAGTTGTCACCAAGTGGCAGCAATCCATTGTAGATGTTTAGGTCTGTCGTTGCGAGGTTATGTAATGCCACACGTTTCATTTTAAAAATAGAACTCAGAGCTACGTGATACCACAGTGATACCGTCGAAACTCCGCTTATTGAGGTCACCGGGTCACTTTGACCCCCTACAACTCGAATCCTTTCTGTTTACATTTTATATTCGTCGAAATCGACTGGTGCCTATATTTTGTATTCTAACACATTTTAGATACGAGTATGTTCCGGGATATGTTCATGCAATATGTTACGAGTCTGTTACCCTTAAATTCCCCGGCGGGATATCACTGTTCGCCTAACTTTATCATTCCTACACAAAATTTCGTAGCACATTCCGTCTTTTTCTTCAGAAAGTCCTACATTGTGGGGTACCAGCACGTGGGCTGAATGCGTGACATAGATGACGCACTGACACGCGCGCGCCTTTGGTCAGAAGTGTGTTACCCAGGCG